GGCATCTTCAGTTCGCAGAACCTCGGTAATTATTATTAATCATACGCCGTGTTGTCGCCGCAAACTCGACTTACCCACTGATTCATGTCAAGCTAATGAACCTTGCTTGCTTGTCGAGGAAGTGTAATGAACGATACTGGCGATTCGATTTAGACAGTCGGCTGTCGCTGGGCAGTTACATTAATTAACTTTTCATCGAGTTGTGGACACAGAGTGTTTGTGGAGTGCGAAACAAGTGCCTTTGGCAGTCGTTATTAATGTGGTCCACAATGAACTGAAAGTGCCTGCGACGAAGAGTTGCCTCGCAACTCTCGCCTCATCAGACCGAATTTCCCAGCAGATAAGGTGTGATAAGAGGACAAGGTGTCGCAAGAGGTTGGAGATAAAATGTGAGGAGCACGACCAGCAATCAATCATTACAAGTCAGAACCGTTTCGACTGCACTAATTTGTGCAAGACTACATGCAATAATTGTGAGCATGATTAATGCGAATCATACCTTAACCGCAGAGTGTCAATTAGTTGAAAACCGAAATGGCACTCCAATTTAAATCTCGGGACTCAAATCGGGGAAGTTTAACAGGTAAATTCCCTGCATTCGGTGCGTCACCAACTGAAACAGGTTTTAAGTCTGTTTCTATTTGGGTTTATTCTGTTTATTCTGGCCGCCTGCCCTGCAAACAGTCAAGTAAGTTGATACACTCGATTTCAAATCGATCCCGCACCCGAATCGGTATTTTGCATAAGCCGCTTATGAGCTCGCAGCCAGAAAACCGAAATTCAAACATCAGCTCGGCTTGTGGTCCATTGCGCTTGTGGCTAATTCACTTGGCCATTGGATTTGGTCAAGTATTAGAGTCACGTACTCGAACTCCAGTTGCCTGACACCTTTCACTCGACCACCGGCTATATTTCTGCGCTCTAAGTTCGCAAATCTATCTCAGGGTCACTCCATTCCGCACCTCTGGCTCCGCCAACTGAGTTGACACTTTTGCCACCTGAATCGTGGAGGGAACTCATGTCATTAGCTGTCAGCTGAATTGACTTTGATTTTTGGTTTTTGGTTTTTGGGCTGTTCACGTGGTTGGCGCTCCATAAAATGCTATTTCGCCTAATCATTTGCGCGGTTAAATTGAAGCATGGGGATGAAATCGCTTTATAAGCGATTCAACTAAGGTAAAGATAACGCTTTCGAATGTCCTGTTGCCAGATTAACAGCTAATGAATAAATATGGATTAGTGAATATGTTACCCAATTACCATTAGCTTAAATAATTCATGTAAGTCCATTACTAGCCTTGCTAATTCGTTGAACAGCACTATTGCACATGTAACTGCCTGGTACATTTCATAATTAATAAAATGCTTGTTTCCAAATCACTGAATAATTACGCTGCCAATTCAACAATGGTCGCTGCAATTAGGATAAAGGCTAAGTACTACTGCAACATAATGTTGTTACAGCTGTTTATCCGGTGCATTCGTTTATTTAGTTCGATGTAGTCATTGAATCGATTTAATGGTTTATTTTTACACCATTTGCATTTGCATTCTATTTAGGCAGCTGTTTATTTTGTGCCTGATTAAACTAATTGAATAGTCCATCAGCATAACACCCCACTTCCTTTCACTGGTAGCGTTTTTCATGCCTCGCACATTACAGGATAATGTAATTGTAATGTTGGCTAAAAATATTTCAGATTTTTAGGACTTACACTTAAGTTCGACAGTAAGTAATAGAGAAGAAAAGGGTACCATAAAAATGTAAAATATTGAAATTTAAACGAATCGCTTTGCGGATAAATTATACTAACGGTCATTTCGATCAGTATAACTGATTAACACAACATCCACACTGCAAAGCTTTTAAGCCAATACGCAAACCATAATTTGGGACAACCCCTGACAAGATACACATCAGTAGAAATCCGAATGGCACCGCCCGACATCCTCAAAAATCAGGATAGGCAGCTTGGAAATATTAAAAGTGTTTCATTTTCCAAATGCGATGAGGCAACTTAAAATTTCGAGAAAGAAGAAAGTGTCAAGGAACTTATACAGGGTCCGCTTCTTCGAGGACTTAGCGTATTGAAGGATACTAGATGTAGCCATAGGTTTCATAGGTTAAAAATATACAAATTAAATAATTGATAGCAATATAACAGTATATATGACTAACAAGGCTTAGTTACTGAAGAACATTTGAATTTAAAAATAGTTGGCCCTTCAAGTGAATATAACATGCCCAAGCAATTAGGCATTAAATTAAACAAACATTTTGTTAAATCTAATTTACATTTTTGAAGATGTGTTGGCTACATCCAAAGGCTCGCGGGGCAGCAAATGAAAACAATTATCAAATTACGTGAACTGGAATAATAGTGCACATGTATGAGTAAACAATCAGGTTAATTACAATACCAGAAAGCCAGATTGAAATATTATTCGGCGAAGTGCACATCAACAGTTGAATATTTGAAAACGAATTTATTTCGCACTTACGACAGGCAGGCAATTTAAGTAATAAGCACAAGCCACTACTGCTTTTTCTCCTTCATGAGCCGCAATTATTTTAACTTGATTCATATTAACTACTTACTGAAATCGATGCTACCCCCATCTGCGACCGCATTAACTCAGTGCTCGGATCCCTTAATTTGGCCAGCCAGGTGGCGTTATGTTCGGTATGCTAATGAAGCTGTCCATTTCACAAGCAATCGCACTCCAATTATGCGCGTCTTCCTAAACTGGATACATCAGGGTCTGGTTTCTAATTTGAATTCCGAGTGGATGGCTCACCCGGGCATCAAACAGCCATACATAAATCAAGCGCGGCTCTGAAAAGTATTATTATAATTGTTAATGGGCTCATCGGTCGAATAGCTCACAACTCAGTACTTTCAGCAACCAAAGGGAAACTGGGCAAGAACAACGTCTAAAAGGTGGACCAAGCGAAATACGCGATATAAAATGCAATTTGCCCTGCTGACATCATTCCGCTTTTAGACAAAAATTTCATCAAAGAATTTCGTGTTTTTCGGTGTAAAATATATTATTCAAGAGCCGCGATAAATGCAATTAAGCGGACAAAAACTAATTGAAAATTCCGCGTTCGGCGTTTCCAAATTTAAACTTAAATCCAGCAAGTCATCCGCTCAGGATGACAACACGGAACTCCTTTAATTAGACTAATAAGACCGCCCTAAGTGTGCCAAACTTTAACAGGTTCCACTTACATATACTTGCACCGCCCATTTGGTGGAAATTTAATTAAAAAACTTTCGGCCAATCGCGAGGGGCGGGGCCATAGCATGGGAAAATTTGTTTGTTCTGCAGCCCGACAAATAAATCTTTATGGATTAAGCGAGCCGCGTGTGTTGTTGTGGCCCCGCGACAAGGAATTTCGGAGGAGCTTTAAAAACTACTTTATTGTTCGCCGCAAGACCTCCAAAAGTTCGTCGGAGCGACCAGAAATGATGGAGCCCCGTCCCGAAAGCCGGCGCGGCCTAAGGATCCATCGACGGCCTAGTGATTTATGCCGGGCCAGAACCGGCCAGGCCAACATCTTCCAGCCAAGCGTGTGAAAGCCAGCTGAGGCGGCCAAGCTGCTGCTTTGGTTTAATGAACTCGAATGTTAATAAATAAATTTGTCAATGGCGCGTTCTTGGGGCTGGGTTATCTGCTGTGCGCCAGGAACATAATGAAACGAAGATGAATGGAAAATCGACTTTAGGCCACCGTTGTTGGCCAGTTTAATTTGCTGCCGAGGGCAACTAATGAGCTGCGATGAATGGCACAGCGTCCTGAATAAAGGAATCCAGGGGCTTAAGCTGACAAAAGCTACCGAACAGCAGTCGTCGGCACCGAAATTGTCCGGAAGCTTAAAACTTGCACGCCAACTCGGCTAATTAATGATAATTAGAGGGCGAACGGTCAATCCTGCTCGAAATGAAAACTGAACGGGCAGAGTATGCGACGCTTCCATAATCAGGCAGACTTCAAAAAGCCCCACTTTACTGCCCATTTAAACGTGATTTAATTTGATTTCTACATACGCACACGCAGCGCATTTTACTGCCGGCTCATCTGCTCATCTGGTCATCTGGTCATCTGGGGGCAATCAACACATCATCGAATCCTCCCGTCCTGGGCTCCTCCTAATGGCATCGGCATCCCTATTATCCGTATCCTGCTCATCATCAAACGCGGAAGGGCAGCGGAGGAGGGTCAGCCAGCATTATCGTTTGTTTTGATTGGTTTTTTGTTCGCTCCTCCGAGGGGATAATGCTTCACACACGTCCTGGCTTCCTGCTCTCTGACGGGCAGTTTGTTTGTTGTTCCGGCAACGGCAGAAAACATTCATCAATTTCATTATCCGGGGATGCCTAAAAACCTAAAAGCCCGGCACACACCCAATCCGCACCATTGTCAGGTGCTTACATGCGCCCAAAAATAGACGCATGCAGATTGATATTGATGGCCCGGCAGAGGGCTTATTCCCCAGCCACTTTCTAATGTTTAAGTTCTCGATTACACGACAAAAGCGGCTTTCGGGCAATTCAGCATTCCAAAAGGCCAGGATTACTACGAGTGTATGGTGAAAAGTGCTTACCGGTTGCACTTCAAAATGCGATGGATAGCAGAACAATTTTCGGGATTCGGCAGAACATCAGATAAATTGGGGTACGGAGCAGCTTTGCAGCTTAGCTGATAGAGGGCAAATGACAGGCGCCCAAAAGGGTAACAAACTAGACAACATACCCACTTCTCGGGCATGAGAAGCTGGATTTCGCAACATGAGGCAACTAATCTCATCTCTTCACCCTTGCAAGGCGAGCCTTTCAACTCACAATTTCACTATGCTCAAATTCTAGGGAATGATTAAAGATATGTTGTATTTAATCTTCGAGCCTGGTTAACCATATATTTGCTTTAGGAGTTGGTGTCAACTCCCACCAGGATACTCCCATGTACCGATGCTAAGCCACAGCAGCGCCATATCAAATCACACCCACTCGAAAAATACTTGCGCCTGCAAACTTGGCTTACTTCTTTCGGTCGGCGAGACAGCTCGCATAATATGCGACATGCGAAATTGATTGTATTGGCAACAAGTGGGGCCCAAGCTGGCTGCTCATCGATTCGAGCACACACCTGCCACGGGCTATCCGTGTACCTGGCACCAGTCGACATCGGTTTGTATCCGTGTTTTTATCGACAGCACAGCAAGTAGTTTTTCCTCGATTTTCCCCGTCGCTGCTGCACATAAACAAAGAGCGTTATAATGACACGCCGTGCTCGACTAGACGCAGTCCCAGCGCCAAGGAGCGTCGCTGTGGCTTCCCAGTTTTCCATATCCAGGTTGCGGTTGGCAGGATATGTGGCCGAAAGTGGGAGCAGCGCGGAAATTTGATGTGACATTGTTATCTATGCAATACCAGCGAGCACTGACAGTTTGTTTTTGGCTAATTGTGGTCCCGCTGGATTTGTCCGGTTGGCCGGTTGGCACTCAGGAATGCCATGGGCGGGCAGCCCGAACAATTGGTAATTGAAATTAAGTGTCCAGGTCCGAGAATACGATACAAATTGCATTTTTACGGCGCTCCTCCCACATTGCCATAGCAATCCGCCTCCTGCGCAGCGCGCCAGCTACAAAGTTTGGCTCCAAAGGATCCTTGGTAAATTATCACAGAGCAGAGGAATTTTTATCAGCTGTTTTTGTGCAACCTTTGCTGCATTCGCTGAATGAAGTTATTCAAGGGCTCTTGTTTATTACGATGTATTTCTATACGCCATTTTCCCTAAGTCCCTGCCAGCAGTGTCCCTCGGCTCGAATCGCGCGAATGGTCCGTGATTTGGGTCGAGCTAACATCGTTCCGCCGAAATGGGCCAAGTTGCTGAAGTTTCCCGGCCGCCTGTCATTTGCATCGATAAGCGGAGCCACTGCCGCAGCAGTAATAACAACACGTTCAGTAAGCCAAGTAATCGCGGACTACACTCGCAGAAAATAGGCATGTTATCTAGGACCAAAGTCATTTTACTGCCTTTCAAAAATAAATTGGCTTGAATTTGTATTAGTTTTTATATAGCAATATTCAAATTTAATCTACGCAATTCCCAGTTTGTCCAGCGATATGTGTTTCCTGCGATTTTTCCAAGTGCCCAATCGCACACAGTTGCAGGCGGGGAAAGCAATTTGAGTCCTAATGAGCAGAGCAGCCAACTCACTAAAAAGGAAGGTCAAGTCTTTGTCCTGCCGATAAAAAATGATAAGCCAGAGGCGAGTACGAGGCCGCAGCTGCTGGTCAAAGTGCCGTGGCAGGGGCAAGGACGCGTTTTAGTACACTGTTATACGGCCGTATGACAGTTGGAAGGATACTGAGGGGGCGGGCCCCACCTACATTTGCATGCCGCGCGCGTTCGCGGGGCTGAGTCCTTTTATGTGGCCATTTTGGGGCCCTCGAGCTGTGTTGATATTTTATTTTCATACATTTTTATGGGCTAGTAAGCAAATTGTCGGGCCGCATGGGCGGCGGGCGGCGCTGGGAGCAGGACAAGGATTTTAATGTGCAAGCCGATGATGGATTCAGAAGTGAAAAAGTGTAATTAATTTAAAAGCTTAGTACCAGCTGAACCGCCGATGGAGTACACGAGTTTGGCAATGACGTCCTTGCTTTGCCCGCAATAGGAAATAGGAATGAAATCCCGGGAAACTGAACACCCGAACAACCTGCCAACTGCCGATTCATTGTGCGTCAAATTAATGACAAAGTGAAATCCACAAAAAACCAGAACACGAAGCAGAGCGGGTAAAGTTTGCCGGCGTGACAAAGAGCTTTTCAAAAATGCGAAAATCAGCGACAAGGCGGAAAGTCTACTATTGTTTACCCTCTGCGGGATTTCCAGCAAGAGACCATATATGGCCATGCCAGTCAAAGAATCCCTATTAACTTAAAACCCAAAATGTTTTATCTATTTTCTCATATGTCACACTTTTAAGTCGATTTTTGGCTGATGTTATATAAAACCTGGAACATTTGAATCCTGCTTGCTGCCAAAGGCGCCATTTAATTTCAGCTTAGTGTTCTTCTGTTGCGAACTACGTTTTTTCGCTCTGCCCAATCTTCTAAGTAATTTCCAATCCCCACCTGCTGACCGCCAGTGGTCAATTGCGAGAATGGCCACAGGTTCTCGTCGGCTGGCAAGCGAATATCCTCGATGGGCTGAACTTTCCGCACGCAAGCCGCAAAATGCGAACGAAGTAAAGGCAGCGGGATTTCGCATTATTCCAAAAATGTTTCGAACGCACGGCAAACTAATCACGGATGCAATTCGGATAGCAGTCGCCGCAGGAGAAAGAACCGCATCCACCGCTCCGGATGGAAGCCCAAAGCGAATCTGCAGCCGAACACGCAACAGAATCAAAATCGCAACAATTTTGTAATGGCTGCGTACTGGCAAATTTGCCAAATCCCATAATATTTGGCGGAGTGCTGGGCAGTGGGCGGTGGTCGGTAGGCGTGCCAATCCAATTGGAAAAATTGTAAAACAGTCCGGTCAATTTCTGTCCAAGTGTCGACATTGCAAGAGGCACAGAGAATATGCTGTAAAATGGAAGCCTGTTCGGTGGGCAGTTGTAAAACGGAGGAAGTGTCTTTAAGGCTGTGGCTCACCTTTCCTTGGAGATCCTGTGTGTGTATCCCCGAGGGTCCCTGACCTTTAGTTAACTTTTCATAATCGATGAGCTGGCGCATCCCATATAGCGGATGGTGGACCCACTCACGCCCACGCCCACCCCCGCCCCAAAGTCAACCCCCCAGACACAATAAAGGGTTTTCAACTTTGACCCTGCGCCTTTTTATATTCGCACATCCGCCCCTCCCCTCGGCAATAATAGCAAGTGTGGCTGACGCAAAGTTTTGGCAGCATAAAGTGGCTCAAGGAATATATTTTTTTAGGCCCATCCTGCCGTTTCCGTCTCCTTTTTCCCTTTCTTCTACAGCCCCCCAGGGTGCGTCTGTGTGTGCCGCCGGAGTGAATTTCGGTCGAAAAGTGTTTTAAAATGGGGATGCCCGGCTTTAAACATAATGACCAACATTTCCACAAGGTGAGTGCAAATGGTTATTAGGAGAAACAATGCAGCGAACGAGGTGCTATCCCCAAAGAGCATAAAATAATCATAAGCACGGGCTTGTATCCGTGGTGAAGGTTCTCTGAACTTTAACTTTTAAACTTAGTATTTCACATAATGCGTGCCCAAACTTAGTTTCTTTAAACTTGCCGCCCTCTTTTATAGCAGTCAGCTTCTGCAGGCTCATCAATAGTATGGCCGTCTTTGCGCTTACGAAATACTCAGTATTTTTTATATATCTACTCTTCTTAACATGTTATAATATTTCTCACATTATTTTCTTTTAATACTTAATATTTAATTATAAATATACTGACATGCTAAATTTAAAAGATTTTTAATTATTACAGGCAATAAAAAATCGAAATTTTTGTATAAAACTCTACTTACATTTTATTTTATGGCTTGATGTACCCAATGTTAACCGTGAATATGAATTGAAATCATAAATAATAGCTGGAACTTATAAAACTGACTAGAAGGAATAAATTGAATCAATGAAAAAATAAAAAAATATGTCCAGTATTTTTTCAAATGCCGGGTGGCTCAAATTTAGCAATCGAAGAACGGTCACACTCGACAGCCTGCTTGCAAAAAACAAAACAATCTCAAAACTTGGCAAAAATAACCAACTTGAAGCTACCAAAATGACGCAGGACATGCTGCTGGGCAACGAAGAGCCGAGCAAGAGCAAGGAGACGTTCCTGGAGAAGTTTTGTGTCCTGGCCAAGTCCTCCACCGGCGCCGCCTTGCTGGATGTGATTCGCCAGGCCCTGGAAGCCCCAAATGTCTTTGTTTTTGGCGAATTACTGGCGGAACCATCCGTATTGCAGGTATGTGCTTCGATGAAACTCCTCCCAGCACTAAGTTTCCTACCGCATTCCACACACAGCTGAAGGACGGCCCGGACTCAAAGTACTTCGAGACCCTGAACCTATTCGCATACGGCACTTACAAGGAATACCGCGCACAGCCGGGAAAGTTCATCGAGCTGACTCCTGCCATGCAGAAGAAGCTGCAGCACCTGACCATCGTCTCGCTGGCCATCAAGGCAAAGAGCATTCCCTATGCCCTACTGCTCAGCGAACTGGAGATCGACAACGTTCGCCACCTGGAGGACATCATCATCGAGGCTATTTACGCAGGTGAGTTCGCCTAGGTGTATAGTTAGATGGGTTCCAACTAGGCGGCTTCGATCTATACAATGTTCCATTGCCTTTTTTGCCAAAACTCACTTAAAAGAGTCATTCCCAGCTCTCAAGTGTCAACGACAGGCTCTCCTTTACTGTCGCATGGTAAAAATTGCATGGTATCTCAGATTCGACGACATTGAAAAACATAGGATTTACCCTCTTCCATTTCGGTTGCAAACCTATTAATTTTCCGGTTGAAAGTCCAGCCGTTTCAGTGCCATGCTCGACCCTGCATCCCTCCCAAGCCTGCGTTATTAAATCAAATGCTAATTTTTGCCTACTTCTCACCATGCAAAGGGCGCCTCCTTCAGTCAATTTGAATTTTTGAGCAGCTGTACACCTGCGCCGGCGGCCCAGCAGCTGTAAAAGCAGTAGATTCACAAAGTTGAGCTGCCGTCTAGCGCCACCCATTCCCGACCACCACTCTCCAACCATTCGCCTTTGGGCAGTGCACTTGATTAGCCGGGACAGCTGGCGCATCCTGGCAAACGAAAACAATTGGGCGGAGAAACGAGGATTATGCTCGCCGAGATTCATTAAGCCACTCGGTCTGGCGCCCCACCAGTTGATTCGGCCCAACTCCTCCCGCGGGAAAACAGTTTTTACAGTTGCCGACGTCAGCTGGATGAACACTTTTGCCTCGATGAATTCCTTTTTGCGCTCACGCCTCAGTGGTGGCCGCCTACAATCAAACTTCGCTCCGTACTTTCCACATAAAAAGTTTGCTTTAAACGTAAAGTGAGGAATCACGAATCATAAATATTTGCAAGTGGAAAAATCTTTTGGGAGAATAGATTTCCACTTACTATTTTTAACTTGTCAAAATGCTGACCGCAAGTATATTGGTATGTACATAAAAAGGAGTAATTTGTTTCGATTACAATCAGTACATACAATATTTACAGTCCTAACAGTGATTTATAGCCAAAACTGTGCATTTGAAACTGGCAAAAAGTGTTGCTGAGAATCGATTTGCTTGGCAGATAGGATGTTGGTAGATGATGTGTGTAGATGATTGCATAGGAACTTGATATCCATCACTGTGTGCCGGCGCAAGCTGCATATTTACACACTTTGCACTTGTACTTCCGGACCCA